GAGGTCAACCTGATAAATTTGTTGTGAAGATTAAATGACTCAATATATATAAAGTGTCTGGTACATAATAAGTTCTCATAAATAATAATTATTAATGGTGATGATCTCTTCTCCACATGATAAGTGGTCATATCTTAGAACAAAGCCAAGAATGGTCCAGTTAACTACATAGAACAGGGTCAGTAGAGAGGAGCCAGTTCAGAACTTGAACAAGCAATTTCAGAGATATACCCAGCTACTGGTCCTATAAACCTTACCGTGAGACACACCATTGTAACTGGAAGGAGACCATTGATAGCATATGGAAGATATGGCTATTCAACATGAAGGGCAGCGTTCTATTAATCTTATTTATTTATATTTCTTTCTTTTTTTTTTTTTTTAAGTCAGTGTCTTGCTCTGTCACCAGGCTGGAGTGCAGTGGCGCAATCTCAGCTCACTGCAGCCTCCACCTCTCTGGTTCAAGTGATTCTCATGCCTCAGCCTCCCCAAGTAGCTGGGACTACAGGTATATGCCACCACATCTGGCTACTTTCTATATTTTTAGTAGAGACAGGGTTTTTACCAGGTCAGCCAGGATGGTCTCGAACTCCTGAACTCAAGTGATCCACCAACCTCAGCCTTCCAAAGTGCTGGGATTATAGGAGTGAGCCACCGTGCCCAGCCTATTTTTCTTTTTTCTTTTCTTTTTTTTCGAGATGGAGTCTCATTCACTCTGTTGCCCTGGCTGAAATGCAGTGGCACAGTCTCAGCTCTCTGCAACCTCCACCTCCCAGGTTCAAGGGATTCTTCTGCCTTGGCCTCCTGAGTAGCTGGGATTATAGGCGTGTATATGACACCTGGCTATTTTTGGTGTTTTTAGTAGAGACAGTGTTTCACCATGTTGACCAGGCTGGTCTCAAACTCCTGACCCCAAGTGATCCACCCCCTCATCAGCCTCCCAAAGTGCTGGGATTACAGGTGTCAGCCACCACATGTATGCTATTTATTTATTTTTCTTAAAAAGAAATAGAGATGAGATCTTACTATGTTGCCCCTTCTGTTCTCGAACCCCTGAGCTCACATAATCCTCCTGCCTTGGCCTCCCAAAGTGCTAGGATTATAGGTGTGAGCCACTGTGCCTGGTCTTGGAACTTTACTTTTTTAAATAAGGGGTTTGATGGGCCATTCCAGCAGAAATGTCAGATGGGAAGTTTGGAAATGCACACGTGTATCTTTAGGAGAGAGATTATCCTGGACATATACTGTCTTCCTTACTCTGAGACATCAAAGGCATGTACTTAGGTATTAACTAGAATGGGGAATTGTCCCTGGATATTTTTTCTCCTAGAGTTTTTCCCAAAGGGCCTTTAAGTTTTCAGCATATAAACACATTTATTTGAAAGGCATTTCCATGACGTTGAAGGCACACGTTACAACTGAATTTTATACCAACCTCCACATGTGGAATCCAGAAAAAAATCTCTGGTCTTAAGACTGAACAGGAAATGAAAGACGTGTCACTCTGGGTCCCTATTAGGTATTCCTATATTTTTACACCACTGGGGAGCCATTTAGGGAAAATGTGCAACCATGTTTCTAAAAAGGTTTCCAAAATTCTTGTCAAATAGCAAATAACTTTGCTATTTCTCTGGGAGTCACAGCAAATTAAAGATGCTTCCACCTCCCCTTTTGAGTACCATCTTCTAACACAGTGCATGCTACAATGAGAGCAGGGAGTGGGAGGGGCTGAGAAATGCTGAATTCTTCGGTAGCATGCCTTTGGCCTTTGGTTGAAACTACTCCTTGGAAGGCTACTATATTCCAAATTTTCTCTAATGGATAATTGATTTGTCAATCTCAATTTCTTCATTGTATATTTTAAAAATTATCTTATATTGTTTTGAACTACCAAAACCAGCACACTCATTTTTCATGATAACACACTTTGGTTATAAATGTCATTGCAAAATACACTTGAACATTAATCAGAAACTTGAAGATTTTGTTAAACTATGAGGATGGCATTCATCTGGATGGCATTCATCAGATTTCATTAAATTATCTATCAGGATGGCATTCATTGAACACCTGCAGTGCAGCTCTGCCAAATGGTCATCTGTCTTTATACAGGTAGATGAAAACCTGTAAATAAAAAGATAGATTAGAATTATAAGACCAGAAGAGTCTTTTAAAGATTGCCTACTCTTTTTCAGACACTAAACTATGAAAGCTATTTTGAAGAACAATATTTTATAATCTATTTCTGTCTTTTCCTTTCTTCTTTCCTCTCTTCTCTTCTTCCTTTTCCGTTTCTTTACACAAAACATTTCCTGAACAACAATAACATGCCAGATGCTATTAAGTAGGAGTGGTATAGTGATGAACTATAATCAGTTTCTGCCTTTCTTTATTTATTTTTGTTTTCATTTTTGTTTTTGGTTTGGTTTGGTTTTGAGACAGAGTCTCACTCTGTCTCCCAGGCTGGAGTGCAGTGGAGTGATCTCAGCTCACTGCAACCTCTGCCTCCAGGGTTCAAGCGATTCTCCTGCCTCAGCCTCCTGAGTAGCTGGGACTACAGGCACCTGCCACCATGTGTGGCAATTTTTTTTATTTTTAGTAGGGATAGGGTTTCACCATCTCTTGTTGGTGAAAAGAGATCAGGAGTTGGCCAGGCTGATCTTGAACTCCTGACCTTATGTGATCAGCCCGCCTCAGTCTCCCAGAGTGCTGGGATTACAGGTGTGAGCCACCACGCCCAGCTGAGTTTCTGCCTTTAATACTCTGTTTAGAGGAAACAGAGACTGTTAATACATCCAGAAACCGAGGTGGGATATCTATGTTCCTTAACTGGATGATTAGGTGATACTTTTATGGAGGTGATGCTTGAATTAATTCATTTAAGGACAAGTAGAGTTGGGGGAAGCAGGCAAGAGGAAAAGGGCATTCCAAGCAGAAGAGATATTAGAAATAACCTCATGGAAAACTAGAGCACCTGGTGAAATTGTATAGGTGGCGTGGCTTTTTGTGTGAATGTGGATACAGGAGAGTGCTCGTCGCCCCTACTATTGATGACATTTAAGTAAAATAAAATTGGCTCTTATTTTTAATGCTCTTCTTTGGTAAAATTGTTAAAAGGCTGAGAAGAATAAAATCTTATTCTATATAATTTAATCAGAACCAACTATAAGGAGAGGAAACTGAAAGGAAAATTTTCATCCATTTAATTTTTTCATAGTAGTTAGTATTTGCTAAGGGCAATGGTTATTAATAGGAATAGTCAAGGAATAATTTCTCAATTATTCTCAGCTGATTTTCCTGGCAGTATTTAACTTAAATAGGAAGAATGTTAATTCCATTTCTCATAAGATAGCGGGGCATGACCATCTGTGTCAAGAAGAAACAAAACCTCAAAGAGTTCCAAGTTAGTTTGGATCAGTCTCAGGAAATCCTGACTTTTATTTGATATGGCCCATAAATCCAATTATTATACTCAAAAGAAAGACTCTTCAAAGACTGGCTATTAGCCTCATTTTACATTCAGGGACAGGAAACAATAAATCTTAAAACAAGAACACGGGACTTTTAGAACTGATGTCAATGAGAGTCTCCCTCTCTCTCTTATCTTTCTATCCTTCCTTTTGATCTGCTTCCTTCCTCTTTGCCCATTCTTTTTTTTTCCCCTCTATTTTTTCCCCTTAATTTGTATCTTATGCCTACCAGTATTTCCTTAGGTAGTTTAATATTTTTAATGGTGATACTTGTATTTATAATATTTGCCCTAAAATAATATTTCAAATAACCTTCAGATCATTCACTTCCTTGGGATTGTCAAATAAGTTCCTTTTATGACTTCTTACACACTCCTACGTTTGACAGAGCCACACCTGAAATGGTAGGATTATTGTCTTTGCGTCACTCCAATGCAAGTCTTGTGGAGGATTCAGTCTCTCCCTAGCCCTGCCCTGTGAGGCAGTTTTCACAGAAATGTGTATGAAGACATGCATTGCAGAATTACCAAATCAGCTGGTGACTCAAAGCAAAGATCATAAATTACAGACTCTATATCCAAAATGATCTCAATTGGCTGGAATGCTGGTATGAAATCAATAAGACAAAATTTAATCAGATGTAAAGGCAAGGTGAGGTGACTCACACCTGTAATTCCAGCAGTTTGGGAGGCCAAGGCCGGTGAATCACTTGAGGTCAGGAGTTCGAGACCAGCCTGACCAACATGGTGAAACCCCATCTTTATTAAAAACATAAAAATTGGCTGGGTGTCATAGCACATGTCTATAATCCCAGCTACTTGCAAGGCTAAGGGAGGAGAATTGCTTGAACCCAGGATGCTGAAGTTGCAGTGAGCTGAGATTGTGGCACTACATGCCAGCTTGGGTGACAGAGCAAGACTCTCAAAAAATAAAAATAAGCCAGGTGCGGTGACTCACACCTGTAATCCCAGCACTTTGGGAGGCTGAGGCGGGCGGATCACAAGGTCAAGAGATCGAGACCATCCTGGTCAACATGGTGAAACCCCATCTCTACTAAAAATACAAAAAATTAGCTGGGCATGGTGGCGTGTGCCTGTAATCCCAGCTACTCTGGAGGCTGAGGCAGGAGAATTGTCTGAACCCAGGAGGCGGAGGTTGCGGTGAGCCGAGATCGTGCCATTGCACTCCGGCCTGGGTAATGAGCGAAACTCCATCTCAAAAAATAAAAAATAAATAAAAATAAAAATAGTAGGAAGAGACCTGTTAGATCTCAGAATTATAGCAATAGTTTCAGTTGACCTCATCTTTCTCCTACCCCTCTCTGCCCATGTCCTTTTGTCCTTGTGAGTTCTGAAATGAGTCCAAACTTCTCCCATCACAGTCCCTCTAAGTATACAGATTTATCGCTCTATCATGATTAAGGTATGGACAGAGTTGGCATTATAAGTGTATGATCTGTATTGCTGCACAGAGTCCTGCACTTAAAACCCCATGCTCAGTTTTATTCTCCTTGAAATTATTATTTTATTTGTGCTCACTTTTGGCAGCATATACACTAAAATTGGAACAATACAGAGAAGATTAGCATAGTATCTGAGCAAGCATGACACACAAATTCATGAAGCATTTCATACTTTTATTTATAATAAAATTTTTTCAAATTTAAAAATAATTTTATTTAATTGGCAAATAAAAAAATATATTTATCATGTACAAAATGTTGCTTTGATACATGTATACATTATAGAATGGCTAAATCAAGCTAATTAACATATTTATTACTTCACATGCTAATACTTTTTTGTGGTGAGGACACTGCAAATCTACTCTCTTAGCCACTTTTCGAGTATGCAGTATGCTATTGCTAATTATAGTCATCATGTTGTGCAGTATATCTCTTGAAACTTTATAAAATTCTTAACAGTTTCTTAATTTTTTTTTAGAGACAGAGAGTCTTACTATGTTGCCCAGGCTGGTCTTGAACTCCTGGACTCAAGCAATCCTCCTGCCTCAGCTTCTCAAGTAGCTGGGATTACAGATGCAAGTCACCATGCCTGAATTAACAACTCTTTGATAAAAAGTCTGGCATTTTCATTTTGCACGGAGCCCCACAAATTATGTAGCCAGTCCTCAGTATAGGAAACATCCTTTTCTTCTCTGAGCAGTTGAAGTTTTCCAAAAGTAAGTTTTACTATGAAAATGAGATAGCAAACAAACAAGTTGGCTACACCAATAGTTAGCAAAAATAAAATTTCAGATTACAAGTGAATCCAAAAGTGAACTATCACCAAGCCAAAAATGCAATTAGCACAGTAGAGACAGTCCATAGCTTCTGGCTCCTTGCCACTTAATTTCTAGCTGCCCAAAATGTTAAATTAAGATACTCGCCTGATCTGAGATGGATTTTGTTTAGCAACAAAACCAAATCCTATAGTATCTGTACAATTCTGGCTATGCTAGGAATAGACCCTAGGTCATTGGCCCTAGCTCCATTACCACTTGCCAGTTCCATTTCTGACCCTCTCCTTCTGTTCTTCCTATCTATTTCAGGTCTCCAGGGCTCTGGCTTCTTCTGGTTTGGCTCCATTTACTTCATATCTGTTTTCTAGCCAATTGAAAAGGTCAGTTCATTATGCAAACTGGAGAACTCTAGCTTTCTTATTATTAGCATAATACAAGCTTGTCAGATTTAGCTAATTAAAATGCAGGACCCACAGTTACATCTGAATTTTAGACAAATAATGGATACATTTTTAGTATATGTTTCATATATTGCATAGCATGTACTTATAATAAAAAAATTATCTTCTGAGTGAGTCACTATATAAGAATAAAAAATAATAAATAAATAAATAAAAGAAAAAAATTATTTATCTAGCTTACATTCAAACATAATTGAATGTTTGGCCAGGCGCAGGGGCTCACGCCTGTAATCCTAGCACTTTTGGAGGCCAAGGCAGGTGGATTACCTGAGGTCCAGAGTTCAAGACCAGCCTAGTTAACATGGTGAAACCTGTTTCTACTAAAAATACAAAAAATTAGCTGGGCATAGTGGTGGACACCTGTAATCCCAGCTACCCAGGAGGCCGAGTCAGGAGAATCACTTGAACCTGGGAGGCAGAGATTGCAGTCAGCCGAGATCTCACCATTGCCCTCCAGCTTGGGCAACAAGAGCAGAACTCTGTCTCCAAAAAAAAAAAAAGTATTAAATTTTCTGCATTTTATCTTCAAACCCTGTCATCATGGGCACCCATGGATCATGGGCTGTCCTGAACAACATGGGAGATGCCTACCATCTGACCTCCTTGGAGTCCATCGGCATGTCTTTAGTTTTCTTGGGACCAAAACCCTCCTCAGCCTCATCTGATGTCACATCCTCTGCTCCTGCAGTTTCTGCCCCTCTCAAGTTCCCATTTCAACAGGAAAGCAGAAATTACTAACGAATCCTGAGTCTATTGAATAATCATGTCTCTTTCTCAATTTACCTGAACAATTCTTCCCATTTACTCAAGTTCTCTTTCATAATTCTATTTCCAAGTACCCCCAGAAAAGTAACTGTTACCAGATTTAGCAATAGAGATGCTGACTGGTTTTCTCATCTATATATCTACAGTAGCCACCGTATTGCATGGCATACAGTGGAATTCAATAAATTCCCAGCAGATACTGGGTGATTGAATTAGTTAATTAAAGAGCATATTCCCTATAGGTTCTTTTGTTGGAACAAGCAGAACATAGCATTCTATTTTATTCCAGAGGGAAGGACCAGGGCCAATAGCATGAACACTTAGGGAAATCATTCTAACTTCAACATCTGGAAACTTTCTTAGCACCAGAGATCAAAGTGGTGGTGTTGAGAAGTCAAGACCTTCCTACCCTTGGCAATGTTCAGGAGGAGGTCTAATTTCCACCACTATGGCACTGCTGTCACAGACAGAATTTCTGGACTAGGGGCAGTGAAAATTAATTGTTAAACTATTTCTGAATCTAAGATGCACGAATGCTAATGCACCTTCTGCACACACACACATTTTTCAGCTTAAAAGTTGCACATGTTACTGAAGTTGCACATGTTACTGAGTTCTGCACTTCTTCTGAGATCAAGGACATATAACAGATGCATGCACACATTAATGATGTGCCAACTCCCTTTTGTTTCAGGCCTTCTAGAGCATAAAGACAAAGAGGTAGTTTCTAGTAACGGAGAGTAAAAAGCCTTTAATTTTTCAGTTTATCTTTGATTTATGTTTCTGTGTCTGTGTGTAGCCAGCCTTGGCCTTTTCAAAAGGAACATGCTAAAACCATTGAAAATGTGTGGTAACTGACTACATGTCTCTATGGGAAATCTTATGTCACTCAAAACAGTTGCTAATGAACACCCTGCACTAGTCCTTCAACATGAGAGAAAAAACAATTTGTAGGTGTGAAGGTAAGCACAAACATTCCCCGCAATAAACCTGGAATTCTTATATATCTCACCATTCTTTTCATTCTTTTTTTTTTTTTTTTTGAGACAGAATCTTGCTCTGTCACCCAGGCTGGAGTGCAGCGGTGTGATTTCAGCTCACTGCAACCTCCACCTCTTGGGTTCAAGCAATTCTCCTGCCTCAGTCTCCCGAATAGCTGGGATTATGGGTATCCACAAACATGCCCAGCTAATTTTTGTATTTTTTGTAAAGATGGGGTTTCATTGTATTGGCCAGGTTGGTCTCAAACCCCTGACCTTAAGAGATCCACCTGCCTCGGCCTCCCAAAGTACTGGGATTACAGGTGTGAGCCACCATTCCCAACCTCACCATTCTTTTAATGCTGTAATAATATGTAAGGGAAAGGGAGAGATATTTGGAATGGAGTAATTGTGCATATTTGAGCAGCATATGCCGTGTATGAGGTGGGGATAGGGAGATAGAAAGGGATAGTGGGGAGAGGACAAGATGTGTGATGTCCACGGGGCTATGGTGGGGAGTTTATGAGAGCTCAGTATGTTGTGTGCCTGTGAAGGCTGAGGGGGCAGCCATCACGGGCTGTGTGTGTGGGCATGTGTGTGCACACATGCATGAGTGTATGCATGTATGTGTAGGTAAGAATAAAGATGGTTGGTGGAAACCAAGTGTGTGTTGTGGGTAGGATGGTGGGGCAGAGTGCAGAGTGTATATATGTGTAAATGATCAGGGTTTATATGAGGGTACAGATGAGAAGCAAGGGGCATAATATAGAAGAGAAATAGGTCTATGCGAAAGAACTGAGCACAAGTGCATTTGTGTTTTTGTGTATGAAAGAAACTTGCTGGCAGCTAAATGTGAGGTATGGATAAAGTGGTGGGGACAAAGTCTGTAAACGTATATAACAGGGTATTGTGGGAGGAAGGATTGGCTGTAGTGTGTGTATGTGTGTGTTCAGAAGTGAACAGAGTGTGTGTGTGTGAGAGAGAGAGAGAGACAGAGACAGAGAGCAAAAGAGAGGGAGGGAGGGATATAGCTTTGGGACATTTGTGCTTATTTATGGATGGGGTATGTTTTTGAAGAGTTATTTGTGTATGGACAGGTTATATGTTTATATCTGAACAAAGTGTGAAAGAGAAAGTGTGTACATGAATGCACACGTGTGCATGAGGTGTTAGATCTGAGTATCCAAGTAGTAGATGGAGCCCTAGCGTGTTGACCAGTGGTAGACCAATGCATACATGCTTGTGGCAAGTGTGCTCATTTGGCCAATGTGTGTGTGGTGTGGGCCCCACGGTGACAGTGAGTTAGACTCAGAAGAAGGAAAGCCAAGTCACCATTGTGCAGTTTTTCTGTCTGACCTGCTTATCCTGTTTCCATTGTCTCCAGAGACCAGGAAGGTATACTAAGCACAGGTTCAGAGCAAGTTGACTGTGAACAAAAGAAGATTTTAGTCTTCTCCCTATGGATGAGTCATACCTAAAAGACAAGCAGGCAATGAGATGCCAACATGTGCTTCCTCAGCTATGCCCTGGGCGTGGCCTTCCATGTGCCCTCTGGGTGCCCAGGAAAAAAGGGTACACCCAGGATGTATCCACCCTCAGGGCTTTGTGCCACCATTGTCTCAGCATCCCTGAGTCCCAGTCATGTGACACACAGGCCTCTTTGCTTATAGACAATGTTAATAATATTTCATTCACTTCTGTCCTGGAAATCTGAAGACCAATAGAACGTTAGATCTGGAAAGACCCTCAGAGGTGCTCTAGCTAGTGATTCTCATTTGGGGATAATGGGGAAAGGAGAATGAGTATAACAGAATCTGAGAGTTTGATTGAAAGTGGGGGTGACAGGGTGGTTTAAGTTCCAGGGAGCTTTAAAACTGCTCCTTGGGTAGCCTGGATGTTCCTCTTCCCTCTCATTGAAAAACACTGCTCTGATCCAGCCCCTTCTTATTTTAGAAAATAGACATCTAAGATCCAGAAACGGTAAGAATCCTGTTCTAGTTGAAATGGCATCATGATCGGCAGGCGTTTTGCTGACTTGAGGTTCTCTAAGCCACCCATTTAAGACAGTGCCCTTCTGTGAGTGGATCTATATTTGTTTAGCTTTGTCTGTATGACCCCAAACATAGCATTTGAAGTAAATAAGCATTCTTTGTATAACTTATTAGACAAAGACAATCACCTACTATACAAC